CCCCCCCCCCCCCCACCCAGAAATCTGATGTAGGTACACCCATGCTCACACGTTTCCTGAAAATTTTCAATTAGATTTTCTTTGAAAATTGAGAAGATGTCAAGAGGGTCATTTCAACATAATTGGGGGGAGGGAGAGGTTGTTCGGAGGCGGTGAAATTTGCCGCTAAAAAAAAATCTCCGACAGTTATCAAATAATGCCAAAAATTTCTCTTTCAGGAGGGAGGAATTTTTTTCCCCCCTTTATTGCTCTAGCCAAATGATCCTCCTAAATGATGTTGAGTTATTGATTGAGTTACTCCTAAATGATGTTAGAATTAATGATTCTTAGGTAAAGAGTAGTCACCCCCAACCCCGCCCGTACGAATTGATAAAATTATTAAGTATTAAAACTATTCTTTGCTGGCGGAAGAAAAAATTAATTCCGCCCGAAAAATCTGTTCAAGAGAGAGATAGAGAGGATTTTCGTTAGGTCCGAATGCATGCCAGTGTGATAGTTTTGGCGCGAAGAGGGCAGATAGGAATTGGCGGGAACTTGGGTTAATTCACTCCGTTCACAATCAGCAGCTCACGCCAGTGCCCACCCAGACACCGGATGCCAGGTTACGCACACAGACGCACCTTTCTAGGAATTCTTTCAGGCTCCGAGGATTTCAGCAGGTAGACCCAGACATTCAGCCCCTCACCCTACCTCGGCGAATCGTTTGTTCATAGTTTGCCGATAACAAATTGCTTTTCCCCAGCTCAACCTCACTTTCCGTCTTCACAGGGTCAGATAAGAAGCGTCGAATACCTCTCACCAACACCCCCCCCCCCCCCCCCCCNGGCCACTCTCCACCTTCCCCCTTCTCACTCTCTCCCTCGCTCCTTCCTTTTTCTTGTTTCTTTTTTTTCTCTCTTTCCTTCTTTGCTCTGTTCTTTTCTTTCCGTATCTTATTTAAGCATGAGTGTAACTATTTTTGCAAAATCTAACCTTTGAATTAATTTATCAACTGTAGTTCTTGCATGTGTTAGGGATTTTCGATTTACGTACTTGTTCTTACTTAAGGTGATTCCACGGTTGCAATATTTTGTGTCAGAGCGACGCGCGATATTTTGCATCAATTCGTTCCATAATTTCAGCTATCTATTTATTTTTTTCGAATTTTGAGATCGCACTTCTGTTGCCATGAGACTGAAGAATTCATGTACCAAATTTACCACAAAATTACAACGTATAAAACCCTGCCTTCGATACGTTGAATTTTTTTTGTTAAATTTGGTACTTAAATGAATTTTTCAGTCTCATGACAACAGAAGTGCGATCTCAAAATTCAAAAAAAAAATAACAAGTTGCCGAAATTACGGAACGAATTGATGCGATTTACCGCACGTCGCTCTGACATAAAACATAGCAACCGTCGAATCACCTTGAGATTTCGAGAGAAACACGCTGGTTCC